TCACTGTGTGTGTAGGCTATGAGTGTGTCACTGTGTGTGTAGGCTATGAGTGTGAGTGTGTCACTGTGTGTGTAGGCTATGAGTGTGAGTGTGTCACTGTGTGTGTAGGCTATGAGTGTGAGTGTATCACTGTGTGTAGGCTATGAGTGTGTCACTGTGTGTGTAGGCTATGAGTGTGAGTGTGTCACTGTGTGTGTAGGCTATGAGTGTGAGTGTGTCACTGTGTGTAGGCTATGAGTGTGTCACTGTGTGTGTCACTGTGTGTGTAGGCTGTGAGTGTGTCACTGTGTGTGTAGGCTATGAGTGTGAGTGTGTCACTGTGTGTAGGCTATGAGTGTGTCACTGAGTGTGTAGGCTATGAGTGTGAGTGTGTCACTGTGTGTAGGCTATGAGTGTGTCACTGTGTGTGTAGGCTATGAGTGTGAGTGTGTCACTGTGTGTGTAGGCTATGAGTGTGTCACTGTGTGTGTAGGCTATGAGTGTGTCACTGTGTGTGTAGGCTATGAGTGTGAGTGTGTCACTGAGTGTGTAGGCTATGAGTGTGTCACTGTGTGTGTAGGCTATGAGTGTGAGTGTGTCACTGTGTGTGTAGGCTATGAGTGTGAGTGTGTCACTGTGTGTGTAGGCTATGAGTGTGTCACTGTGTGTAGGCTATGAGTGTGTCACTGTGTGTGTAGGCTATGAGTGTGTCACTGAGTGTGTAGGCTGTGAGTGTGTCACTGAGTGTGTAGGCTATGAGTGTGTCACTGTGTGTGTAGGCTATGAGTGTGAGTGTGTCACTGTGTGTGTAGGCTATGAGTGTGAGTGTGTCACTGAGTGTGTAGGCTATGAGTGTGTCACTGTGTGTGTAGGCTATGAGTGTGAGTGTGTCACTGAGTGTGTAGGCTATGAGTGTGTCACTGTGTGTGTAGGCTATGAGTGTGAGTGTGTCACTGTGTGTAGGCTATGAGTGTGTCACTGTGTGTGTAGGCTATGAGTGTGAGTGTGTCACTGTGTGTAGGCTATGAGTGTGTCACTGTGTGTGTAGGCTATGAGTGTGAGTGTGTCACTGAGTGTGTAGGCTATGAGTGTGAGTGTGTCACTGTGTGTGTAGGCTATGAGTGTGAGTGTGTCACTGTGTGTGTAGGCTATGAGTGTGAGTGTGTCACTGTGTGTGTAGGCTATGAGTGTGTCACTGTGTGTGTAGGCTATGAGTGTGTCACTGAGTGTGTAGGCTATGAGTGTGTCACTGTGTGTGTAGGCTATGAGTGTGTCACTGTGTGTGTAGGCTATGAGTGTGTCACTGTGTGTGTAGGCTATGAGTGTGAGTGTGTCACTGTGTGTGTAGGCTATGAGTGTGTCACTGTGTGTGTAGGCTATGAGTGTGTCACTGAGTGTGTAGGCTATGAGTGTGTCACTGTGTGTGTAGGCTATGAGTGTGAGTGTGTCACTGTGTGTAGGCTATGAGTGTGTCACTGTGTGTGTAGGCTATGAGTGTGTCACTGAGTGTGTAGGCTATGAGTGTGAGTGTGTCACTGTGTGTGTAGGCTATGAGTGTGTCACTGTGTGTGTAGGCTATGAGTGTGAGTGTGTCACTGTGTGTGTAGGCTATGAGTGTGTCACTGTGTGTGTAGGCTATGAGTGTGAGTGTGTCATTGTGTGTGTAGGCTATGAGTGTGACACTGTGTGTGTAGGCTATGAGTGTGTCACTGTGTGTAGGCTATGAGTGTGTCACTGTGTGTGTAGGCTATGAGTGTGTCACTGTGTGTGTAGGCTATGAGTGTGAGTGTGTCACAGTGTGTGTAGGCTATGAGTGTGTCACTGTGTCTGTAGGCTATGAGTGTGAGTGTGTCACTGTGTGTGTAGGCTATGAGTGTGTCACTGTGTGTGTAGGCTATGAGTGTGAGTGTGTCACTGTGTGTGTAGGCTATGAGTGTGGGTGTGTCACTGTGTGTGTAGGCTATGAGTGTGTCACTGTGTGTGTAGGCTATGAGTGTGTCACTGTGTGTGTAGGCTATGAGTGTGAGTGTGTCACTGTGTGTGTAGGCTATGAGTGTGAGTGTGTCACTGTGTGTGTAGGCTATGAGTGTGAGTGTGTCACTGTGTGTAGGCTATGAGTGTGTCACTGTGTGTGTAGGCTATGAGTGTGAGTGTGTCACTGTGTGTGTAGGCTATGAGTGTGTCACTGTGTGTGTAGGCTATGAGTGTGAGTGTGTCACTGAGTGTGTAGGCTATGAGTGTGTCACTGTGTGTGTAGGCTATGAGTGTGTCACTGTGTGTGTAGGCTGTGAGTGTGTCACTGTGTGTGTAGGCTATGAGTGTGTCACTGTGTGTAGGCTATGAGTGTGTCACTGAGTGTGTAGGCTATGGGTGTGAGTGTGTCACTGTGTGTGTAGGCTATGAGTGTGTCACTGTGTGTGTAGGCTATGAGTGTGGGTGTGTCACTGTGTGTAGGCTATGAGTGTGTCACTGTGTGTGTAGGCTATGAGTGTGTCACTGTGTGTGTAGGCTATGAGTGTGAGTGTGTCACTGTGTGTGTAGGCTATGAGTGTGTCACTGTGTGTGTAGGCTATGAGTGTGTCACTGACTGTGTAGGCTATGAGTGTGTCACTGTGTGTGTAGGCTATGAGTGTGAGTGTGTCACTGTGTGTGTAGGCTATGAGTGTGTCACTGAGTGTGTAGGCTATGAGTGTGTGTCACTGTGTGTGTAGGCTATGAGTGTGTCACTGAGTGTGTAGGCTATGAGTGTGTCACTGTGTGTGTAGGCTATGAGTGTGTCACTGTGTGTGTAGGCTATGAGTGTGTCACTGTGTGTGTAGGCTATGAGTGTGTCACTGTGTGTGTAGGCTATGAGTGTGTCACTGTGTGTGTAGGCTATGAGTGTGTCACTGTGTGTGTAGGCTATGAGTGTGTCACTGTGTGTGTAGGCTATGAGTGTGAGTGTGTCACTGTGTGTGTAGGCTATGAGTGTGTCACTGTGTGTGTAGGCTATGAGTGTGTCACTGTGTGTGTAGGCTATGAGTGTGTCACTGTGTGTGTAGGCTATGAGTGTGTCACTGTGTGTGTAGGCTATGAGTGTGTCACTGTGTGTGTAGGCTATGAGTGTGTCACTGTGTGTGTATGCTATGAGTGTGTCACTGTGTGTGTAGGCTATGAGTGTGTCACTGTGTGTGTAGGCTATGAGTGTGAGTGTGTCACTGTGTGTGTAGGCTATGAGTGTGTCACTGAGTGTGTAGGCTATGAGTGTGAGTGTGTCACTGAGTGTGTAGTCTATGAGTGTGTCACTGTGTGTAGGCTATGAGTGTGTCACTGTGTGTGTAGGCTGAGTGTGAGTGTGTCACTGTGTGTGTGTGAGTGTGTCACTGTGTGTGTCACTGTGTGTGTCACTGTGTGTGTGTCAATGTGTCACTGTGTGTGTCACTGTGTCACTGTGTGTGTCACTGTGTGTGTCACTGTGTGTGTGTCAATGTGTCACTGTGTGTGTCACTGTGTGTGTCACTGTGTGTGTGTCAATGTGTCACTGTGTGTGTCACTGTGTCACTGTGTGTGTCACTGTGTGTGTCACTGTGTGTGTCACTGTGTGTGTGTCAATGTGTCACTGTGTGTGTCACTGTGTCACTGTGTGTGTCACTGTGTCACTGTGTGTGTCACTGTGTGTGTCACTGTGTCACTGTGTGTGTGTCACTGTGTGTCACTGAGTGTGTCACTGTGTGTGTCACTGTGTGTGTCACTGTGTGTGTGTGTGTCACTGTGTGTGTCACTGTGTGTGTCACTGAGTGTGTGTGTGTCACTGTGTGTGTCACTGTGTGTGTGTCACTGAGTGTGTCACTGTGTGCGTGTGTCACTGAGTGTGTTACTGTGTCACTGTGTCACTGTGTGTGTCACTGTGTGTGTGTGTCACTGTGTGTGTCACTGTGTGTGTGTCACTGTGTGTGTGTCAATGTGTCACTGTGTGTGTCACTGTGTGTGTGTCACTGTGTGTGTGTGTCACTGTGTGTGTCACTGTGTGTGTGTCACTCTGTGTGTGTGTCACTGTGTGTGTGTGTGTCACTGAGTGTGTCACTGTGTGCGTGTGTCACTGAGTGTGTTACTGTGTCACTGTGTCACTGTGTGTGTCACTGTGTGTGTGTCACTGTGTGTGTGTCACTGTGTGTGTCACTGTGTCACTGTGTGTGTCACTGTGTGTCACTGTGTCACTGTCTGTGTCACTGTGTGTGTGTGTCACTGTGTGTGTCACTGTGTGTGTCACTGTGTGTGTGTCACTGTGTCACTGTGTGTGTGTGTGTCACTGTGTGTGTCACTGTGTGTGTGTGTGTCACTGTGTGTGTGTGTCACTGTGTCACTGTGTGTGTGTGTCACTGTGTGTGTGTGTCACTGTGTCACTGTGTGTGTGTGTCACTGTGTGTCACTGTGTGTGTGTGTCACTATGTGTGTGTCACTGTGTGTGTGTCACTGTGTGTGTGTGTCACTCTGTGTGTGCCACTGTGTGTGTCACTGTGTGTGTCAATGTGTCACTGTGTGTGTCACTGTGTGTGTGTGTCACTGTGTGTGTGTCACTGTGTATGTCACTGTGTGTGTGTGACTGTGTGTGTCACTGTGTCACTCGTGTGTGACTGTGTGTGTGTGTCACTGTGTGTGTGACTGTGTGTGTGTGTCACTGTGTGTGTGCCTGTATGTGTGTGTCACTGTGTGTCTGTCTGTGTGTGTGTCACTGTGTGTGTGTGTCACTGTGACTGTGTCACTGTGTGTGTCACTGTGACTGTGTCACTGTGTGTGTCACTGTGTGTGTCACTGTGTGTCACTGTGACTGTGTCACTGTGTGTGTCACTGTGACTGTGTCACTGTGTGTGTCACTGTGACTGTGTCACTGTGTGTGTCACTGTGTGTGTGTGTGTGTCACTGTGTGTGTGTCACTGTGTGTGTGTCACTGTGACTGTGTCACTGTGACTGTGTCACTGTGTGTGTCACTGTGTGTGTGTGTGTGTCACTCTGTGTGACTGTGTGACTGTGTGTGTTGTCACCTCAACAACGCCGTATTTGGGGGTGAAGACGGTGATCATAGCAGCACTGTCCAGCATGAAGGACACCTTGTAGCTGTGGTGAGTGGTGACACCCAGCTCCTACACACACTCACACAGTCACACACAGTCACACAGTCACACACAGTCACAGAGTCACACACACACACAGCAGCACTGTCCAGCATGAAGGACACCTTGTAGCTGTGGTGAGTGGTGACACCCAGCTCCTACACACACACACACAGTCACACACAGTCACACACACACACAGCAGCACTGTCCAGCATGAAGGACACCTTGTAGCTGTGGTGAGTGGTGACACCCAGCTCCTACACACACTCACACAGTCACACACAGTCACACACAGTCACACAGTCACACACAGTCACACACAGACACACACACACAGCAGCACTGTCCAGCATGAAGGACACCTTGTAGCTGTGGTGAGTGGTGACACCCAGCTCCTACACACACTCACACAGTCACACACAGTCACACACAGTCATACACAGTCACAGAGTCACACACAGACAGACAGTCACACAGTCACACATAGTCACACACACACACAGTCACACACACACAGACACACACAGTCACACACACAGACAGACACACACACACACAGTCACACACACACACACAGACAGACACACACACAGACACACACACACACAGCAGCGCTGTCCAGCATGAAGGACACCTTGTAGCTGTGGTGAGTGGTGACACCCAGCTCCTACACACAGTCACACACACACACACACCGTCACACACACACAGTCACACAGTCACACACACACAGACAGACACACACATACACACACAGACACACACACACACACAGCAGCACTGTCCAGCATGAAGGACACCTTGTAGCTGTGGTGAGTGGTGACACCCAGCTCCTACACACACTCACACAGTCACACACAGTCACACAGTCACACACAGTCACACACACACACAGCAGCACTGTCCAGCATGAAGGACTCCTTGTAGCTGTGGTGAGTGGTGACACCCAGCTCCTACACACACTCACACACAGTCACACACAGTCACACAGTCACACACAGTCACACACAGTCACACACACACACAGCAGCACTGTCCAGCATGAAGGACACCTTGTAGCTGTGGTGAGTGGTGACACCCAGCTCCTACACACACTCACACAGTCACACACAGTCACACACAGTCACACAGTCACACACAGTCACACACAGACACACACACACAGCAGCACTGTCCAGCATGAAGGACACCTTGTAGCTGTGGTGAGTGGTGACACCCAGCTCCTACACACACTCACACAGTCACACACAGTCACACACAGTCATACACAGTCACAGAGTCACACACAGACAGACAGTCACACAGTCACACATAGTCACACACACACACAGTCACACACACACAGACACACACAGTCACACACACAGACAGACACACACACACACAGTCACACACACACACACAGACAGACACACACACAGACACACACACACACAGCAGCGCTGTCCAGCATGAAGGACACCTTGTAGCTGTGGTGAGTGGTGACACCCAGCTCCTACACACAGTCACACACACACACACACCGTCACACACACACAGTCACACAGTCACACACACACAGACAGACACACACATACACACACAGACACACACACACACACAGCAGCACTGTCCAGCATGAAGGACACCTTGTAGCTGTGGTGAGTGGTGACACCCAGCTCCTACACACACTCACACAGTCACACACAGTCACACAGTCACACACAGTCACACACACACACAGCAGCACTGTCCAGCATGAAGGACTCCTTGTAGCTGTGGTGAGTGGTGACACCCAGCTCCTACACACACTCACACACAGTCACACACACACAGACAGACACACACACACACAGACACACACACACAGTCACACACACACACAGTCACACACAGTCACCAGAGTCACACACAGACACACAAGTCCAACACCAGTGGAGACTTTGTGCCAGTTAAAAGGGTAAAAGCCTATTCCTATATCTTGTTTCTGGCAAAGGAGGTCTCATAATGTTAATGCTCACCCCGAGCCCTCAATAACTCTGATGGTGCGCTGTTTTATTGAGCTTTTGGCGTCTTCTGGTCCAACACCAGTGGAGAGACTAAAGGGGCTCTAAAGAAAAGCCATCTCTGGTGTGGACCAATCAAATTCAAGGACAGTGCCAATATTATTATTATCATCAGAGTTGTCTCTTTTTGTTTGTATTTTGACTGCTTGTGTTGTGGTTATTGCAAACACGATGCCTTGAATAAAGGCGTCAGTTTTTGTGCCAGTTAAAAGGGTAAAAACCTCATTACTATATCTTGTTTACTGACAAAGGAGGTCTCATAATGTAAATGCTCACCCCGAGCCCTCAATAACTCTGATAGTGCGCTGTTGTTGAGTTGTACGCCTTGTGGCGTCTTCTGGTCCAACACCAGCGGAGAGACTAAAGGGCTCTAAAGAAAAGCCATCTCTGGTGTGGACCAATCAAATTCAAGGACAGTGCCAATATTATTATTATCATCAGAGTTGTCTCTTTTTGTTTGTATTTTGACTGCTTGTGTTGTGGTTATTGCAAACACGATGCCTTGAATAAAGGCGTCAGTTTTTGTGCCAGTTAAAAGGGTAAAAACCTCATTACTATATATCTTGTTTACTGGCAAAGGAGGTCTCATAATGATGATGATAGTGTTTGTGATGACGATGTTTGTGATGATGATGATGATGGTGTTTGTGATGATGATGATGATGGTGTTTGTGATGATGATGATGGTGTTTGTGATGATGATGATGATGGTGTTTGTGATGACGATGATGGTGTTTGTGATGATGATGATGATGATGGTGTTTGTGATGATGATGATGGTGATGATGATGATGATGGTGTTTGTGATGATGACGATGGTGATTGTGATGATGGTGTTTGTGATGGTGATGGTGATTGTGATGGTGATTGTGATGATTGTGATGATGATTGTGATGATTGTGATGATGATGGTGATTGTGATGATGATGATGGTGATGATGATGGTGGTGTTTGTGATGGTGATGATGATGATTGTGATGATGATGGTGATTGTGATGATGATGATGTTTGTGATGATGATGATGATGGTGTTTGTGATGATGATGATGGTGTTTGTGATGATAATGATGATGGTTGTGATGATGGTGATTGTGATGGTGATTGTGATGATGATTGTGATGATGGTGATTGTGATGATGATGATGGTGTATGTGATGGTGATGATGATGTATGTGATGATGATGATGATGGTGTTTGTGATGATGATGATGTTTGTGATGATGATGATTGTGATGATGATGATGGTGTTTGTGATGACGATGATGATGATGGTTGTGATGATGATGTTTGTGATGATGATGATGGTGTTTGTGATGATGATGGTGTTTGTGATGATGATGATGATGGTGTTTGTGATGATGATGATGGTGTTTGTGATGATGATGATGGTGATTGTGATTGTGATGATGATGGTTGTGATGATGATGTTTGTGATGATGATGATGATGTTTGTGATGATGATGGTGTTTGTGATGATGATGGTGATGATGGTGTTTGTGATGATGATGGTGTTTGTGATGATGATGATGGTGTTTGTGATGGTGATGATGGTGTTTGTGATGGTGATGATGTTTGTGATGATGATGATGATGGTGTTTGTGATGATGACGATGGTGATTGTGATGATGGTGTTTGTGATGGTGATGGTGATTGTGATGGTGATTGTGATGATTGTGATGATGATTGTGATGATGATTGTGATGATGATGGTGATTGTGATGATGATGTTTGTGATGATGATGGTGGTGTTTGTGATGGTGATGATGGTGATTGTGATGATGATGATGATGTTTGTGATGATGATGATGGTAGTGATGATGATGGTGTTTGTGATGATGGTGATTGTGATGATGGTGTTTGTGATGATGGTGATGATGATGGTGTTTGTGATGATGGTTGTGGCGATGATGTCTCACCTTCATCTTGGCTTCAATCCACTTCATGCTGGTGGCAGCTACACACACACATACAGACACATACACACACACATACACACACACATACATACACACACACATACATACACAAACACACACACACACATACACACACAGACACACACATACACACACACATACATACACACATACACACACATACATACACACATACACACACATACATACACATACACATATACACAGACACACACATACATACACACACATACACAGACACATACATACATACACACATACATACACACATAGACACATACATACATACACACACACATACATACACACATACAGACACATACATACATACATACACACATACACACATACATACACACACACACACATACACACACACATACACACACACACAGACACACATACATACATACACACACATACATACAGACACATACACACACACACATACACACACACAGACACACACACATATACATACACACACATACATACACACACACATACATACACACACAGATACACAGACACACACACACACAGAGACACACACAGAGACACAGACCCACAGACATACACATACAGAGAGACACACAGAGAGACCCACAGACAAACATACATACACAGAGACACACGGAGACACACGGAGACACACAGAGACACGGAGACAGACAGACGGAGACACGGAGAGACATGGAGACACACAGACATGGGGTTAGAGGCAGAGGGAGTGGGTGGGTGAGTTGGTGGGTGAGTGGGTGGTTGAGTGGGTGGGTGGGTGAGTGAGTGAGTGGGCGGGTGAGCGAGTGGGTAAGTGAGGGGGTGAGTGTGTGAGTGTGTGGGTGAGTGAGTGTATGAGTGAGTGTATGAGTGAGTGTATGAGTGAGTGTATGAGTGAGTGTGTGAGTGTGTGGGTGAGTGAGTGAGTGTATGAGTGAGTGTATGAGTGAGTGTATGAGTGAGTGTATGAGTGAGTGTGTGGGTGAGTGAGTGTATGAGTGAGTGTATGAGTGAGTGTATGAGTGAGTGTATGAGTGAGTGTGTGAGTGTGTGGGTGAGTGAGTGAGTGTATGAGTGAGTGTATGAGTGAGTGTATGAGTGAGTGTATGAGTGAGTGTGTGAGTGAGTGTATGAGTGAGTGTATGAGTGAGTGTGTGAGTGTGTGGGTGAGTGAGTGAGTGTATGAGTGAGTGTATGAGTGAGTGTATGAGTGAGTGTATGAGTGAGTGTGTGAGTGTGTGGGTGAGTGAGTGAGTGTATGAGTGAGTGTATGAGTGAGTGTATGAGTGAGTGTATGAGTGAGTGTGTGAGTGAGTGAGTGAGCATATGAGTGAGTGAGTGTATGAGTGAGTGAGTGTATGAGTGAGTGAGTGTATGAGTGAGTGTATGAGTGAGTGTATGAGTGAGTGTATGAGTGAGTGTATGAGTGAGTGTATGAGTGAGTGAGTGTATGAGTGAGTGTATGAGTGAGTGTATGAGTGAGTGAGTGTATGAGTGAGTGTATGAGTGAGTGAGTGAGTGTATGAGTGAGTGTATGAGTGAGTGAGTGTATGAGTGAGTGAGTGTATGAGTGAGTGAGTGTATGAGTGAGTGAGTGTATGAGTGAGTGAGTGTATGAGTGAGTGAGTGTATGAGTGAGTGAGTGTATGAGTGAGTGAGTGTATGAGTGAGTGAGTGTATGAGTGAGTGTATGAGTGAGTGTGTGAGTGTATGAGTGAGTGTATGAGTGTATGAGTGAGTGAGTGTTTCAGTGAGTGAGTGAGTGAGCTACTCACACCAGATGGCGATGTCGTAGTGAGTGTATGAGTGAGTGTGTGAGTGAGTGTATGAGTGAGTGAGTGTATGAGTGAGTGTATGAGTGAGTGTATGAGTGTGTGAGTGAGTGAGTGAGTGTATGAGTGAGTGTATGAGTGAGTGAGTGTATGAGTGAGTGAGTGAGTGTATGAGTGAGTGAGTGAGTGTATGAGTGAGTGAGTGAGTGTATGAGTGAGTGAGTGTATGAGTGAGTGTATGAGTGAGTGAGTGAGTGTATGAGTGAGTGTATGAGTGAGTGTATGAGTGAGTGAGTGTATGAGTGAGTGTATGAGTGAGTGAGTGTATGAGTGAGTGAGTGAGCTACTCACACCAGATGGCGATGTCGTAGTGAGTGTATGAGTGAGTGTGTGAGTGAGTGTATGAGTGAGTGAGTGTATGAGTGAGTGTATGAGTGAGTGTATGAGTGTGTGAGTGAGTGAGTGAGTGTATGAGTGAGTGTATGAGTGAGTGAGTGTATGAGTGAGTGAGTGAGTGTATGAGTGAGTGAGTGAGTGTATGAGTGAGTGAGTGAGTGTATGAGTGAGTGAGTGTATGAGTGAGTGTATGAGTGAGTGTATGAGTGAGTGAGTGTATGAGTGAGTGTATGAGTGAGTGAGTGTATGAGTGAGTGTATGAGTGAGTGAGTGTATGAGTGAGTGAGTGTATGAGTGAGTGTATGAGTGAGTGTATGAGTGAGTGTATGAGTGAGTGTATGAGTGAGTGTATGAGTGAGTGAGCTACTCACACCAGATGGCGATGTCGTAGTGAGTGTATGAGTGAGTGTGTGAGTGAGTGTATGAGTGAGTGAGTGTATGAGTGAGTGTATGAGTGAGTGTATGAGTGTGTGAGTGTGTGAGTGAGTGAGTGTATGAGTGAGTGTATGAGTGAGTGTATGAGTAAGTGAGTGTATGAGTGAGTGAGTGAGTGTATGAGTGAGTGAGTGTATGAGTGAGTGAGTGAGTGTATGAGTGAGTGTATGAGTGAGTGAGTGTATGAGTGAGTGAGTGTATGAGTGAGTGTATGAGTGAGTGTATGAGTGAGTGTATGAGTGAGTGTATGAGTGAGTGAGTGAGCTACTCACACCAGATGGCGATGTCGTAGTGAGTGTATGAGTGAGTGTGTGAGTGAGTGTATGAGTGAGTGAGTGTATGAGTGAGTGTATGAGTGAGTGTATGAGTGTGTGAGTGAGTGAGTGAGTGTATGAGTGAGTGTATGAGTGAGTGAGTGTATGAGTGAGTGAGTGAGTGTATGAGTGAGTGTATGAGTGAGTGAGTGAGTGTATGAGTGAGTGAGTGTATGAGTGAGTGTATGAGTGAGTGTATGAGTGAGTGAGTGTATGAGTGAGTGTATGAGTGAGTGAGTGTATGAGTGAGTGTATGAGTGAGTGAGTGTATGAGTGAGTGTATGAGTGAGTGTATGAGTGAGTGTATGAGTGAGTGTATGAGTGAGTGAGTGAGCTACTCACACCAGATGGCGATGTCGTAGTGAGTGTATGAGTGAGTGTGTGAGTGAGTGTATGAGTGAGTGAGTGTATGAGTGAGTGTATGAGTGAGTGTATGAGTGTGTGAGTGAGTGAGTGAGTGTATGAGTGAGTGTATGAGTGAGTGAGTGTATGAGTGAGTGAGTGAGTGTATGAGTGAGTGAGTGAGTGTATGAGTGAGTGTATGAGTGAGTGAGTGTATGAGTGAGTGAGTGTATGAGTGAGTGTATGAGTGAGTGAGTGTATGAGTGAGTGAGTGTATGAGTGAGTGAGTGTATCAGTGAGTGAGTGTATGAGTGAGTGAGTGAGTGTATGAGTGAGTGAGTGAGTGTATGAGTGAGTGAGTGTATGAGTGAGTGTATGAGTGAGTGTATGAGTGAGTGAGCGAGTGAGTGTACGAGTGAGTGAGTGTATGAGTGAGTGAGTGTATGAGTGTGTGAGTGAGTGAGCTACTCACACCAGATGGCGATGTCGTAGTGAGTGTATGAGTGAGTGTGTGAGTGAGTGTATGAGTGAGTGAGTGTATGAGTGAGTGTATGAGTGAGTGTATGAGTGTGTGAGTGAGTGAGTGAGTGTATGAGTGAGTGTATGAGTGAGTGAGTGTATGAGTGAGTGAGTGAGTGTATGAGTGAGTGAGTGAGTGTATGAGTGAGTGTATGAGTGAGTGAGTGTATGAGTGAGTGAGTGTATGAGTGAGTGTATGAGTGAGTGAGTGTATGAGTGAGTGAGTGTATGAGTGAGTGAGTGTATCAGTGAGTGAGTGTATGAGTGAGTGAGTGAGTGTATGAGTGAGTGAGTGAGTGTATGAGTGAGTGAGTGTATGAGTGAGTGTATGAGTGAGTGTATGAGTGAGTGAGCGAGTGAGTGTACGAGTGAGTGAGTGTATGAGTGAGTGAGTGTATGAGTGTGTGAGTGAGTGAGCTACTCACACCAGATGGCGATGTCGTAGTGAGTGTATGAGTGAGTGTGTGAGTGAGTGTATGAGTGAGTGAGTGTATGAGTGAGTGTATGAGTGAGTGTATGAGTGTGTGAGTGAGTGAGTGAGTGTATGAGTGAGTGTATGAGTGAGTGAGTGTATGAGTGAGTGAGTGAGTGTATGAGTGAGTGAGTGAGTGTATGAGTGAGTGTATGAGTGAGTGAGTGTATGAGTGAGTGAGTGTATGAGTGAGTGTGTGAGTGAGTGAGTGTATGAGTGAGTGAGTGTATGAGTGAGTGAGTGTATCAGTGAGTGAGTGTATGAGTGAGTGAGTGAGTGTATGAGTGAGTGAGTGAGTGTATGAGTGAGTGAGTGTATGAGTGAGTGTATGAGTGAGTGTATGAGTGAGTGAGCGAGTGAGTGTACGAGTGAGTGAGTGTATGAGTGAGTGAGTGTATGAGTGTGTGAGTGAGTGAGCTACTCACACCAGATGGCGATGTCGTAGTGAGTGTATGAGTGAGTGTGTGAGTGAGTGTATGAGTGAGTGAGTGTATGAGTGAGTGTATGAGTGAGTGTATGAGTGTGTGAGTGAGTGAGTGAGTGTATGAGTGAGTGTGTGAGTGAGTGAGTGTATGAGTGAGTGAGTGAGTGTATGAGTGAGTGAGTGAGTGTATGAGTGAGTGTATGAGTGAGTGAGTGTATGAGTGAGTGAGTGTATGAGTGAGTGTATGAGTGAGTGAGTGTATGAGTGAGTGAGTGTATGAGTGAGTGAGTGTATCAGTGAGTGAGTGTATGAGTGAGTGAGTGAGTGTATGAGTGAGTGAGTGAGTGTATGAGTGAGTGAGTGTATGAGTGAGTGTATGAGTGAGTGTATGAGTGAGTGAGCGAGTGAGTGTACGAGTGAGTGAGTGTATGAGTGAGTGAGTGTATGAGTGTGTGAGTGAGTGAGCTACTCACACCAGATGGCGATGTCGTAGTGAGTGTATGAGTGAGTGTGTGAGTGAGTGTATGAGTGAGTGAGTGTATGAGTGAGTGTATGAGTGAGTGTATGAGTGAGTGAGTGAGTGAGTGAGTGTATGAGTGAGTGTATGAGTGAGTGAGTGTATGAGTGAGTGAGTGAGTGTATGAGTGAGTGAGTGAGTGTATGAGTGAGTGTATGAGTGAGTGAGTGTATGAGTGAGTGAGTGTATGAGTGAGTGTATGAGTGAGTGAGTGTATGAGTGAGTGAGTGTATGAGTGAGTGAGTGTATCAGTGAGTGAGTGTATGAGTGAGTGAGTGAGTGTATGAGTGAGTGAGTGAGTGTATGAGTGAGTGAGTGTATGAGTGAGTGTATGAGTGAGTGTATGAGTGAGTGAGCGAGTGAGTGTACGAGTGAGTGAGTGTATGAGTGAGTGAGTGTATGAGTGTGTGAGTGAGTGAGCTACTCACACCAGATGGCGATGTCGTAGTGAGTGTATGAGTGAGTGTGTGAGTGAGTGTATGAGTGAGTGAGTGTATGAGTGAGTGTATGAGTGAGTGTATGAGTGAGTGAGTGAGTGAGTGAGTGTATGAGTGAGTGTATGAGTGAGTGAGTGTATGAGTGAGTGAGTGAGTGTATGAGTGAGTGAGTGAGTGTATGAGTGAGTGTATGAGTGAGTGAGTGTATGAGTGAGTGAGTGTATGAGTGAGTGTATGAGTGAGTGAGTGTATGAGTGAGTGAGTGTATGAGTGAGTGAGTGTATGAGTGAGTGAGTGTATGAGTGAGTGAGTGAGTGTATGAGTGAGTGAGTGAGTGTATGAGTGAGTGAGTGTATGAGTGAGTGTATGAGTGAGTGTATGAGTGAGTGAGCGAGTGAGTGTACGAGTGAGTGAGTGTATGAGTGAGTGAGTGTATGAGTGAGTGAGTGAGTGAGCTACTCACACCAGATGGCGATGTCGTAGTGAGTGTATGAGTGAGTGTGTGAGTGAGTGTATGAGTGAGTGAGTGTATGAGTGAGTGTATGAGTGAGTGTATGAGTGTGTGAGTGAGTGAGTGAGTGTATGAGTGAGTGTATGAGTGAGTGAGTGTATGAGTGAGTGAGTGAGTGTATGAGTGAGTGAGTGAGTGTATGAGTGAGTGTATGAGTGAGTGAGTGTATGAGTGAGTGAGTGTATGAGTGAGTGTATGAGTGAGTGAGTGTATGAGTGAGTGAGTGTATGAGTGAGTGAGTGTATCAGTGAGTGAGTGTATGAGTGAGTGAGTGAGTGTATGAGTGAGTGAGTGAGTGTATGAGTGAGTGAGTGTATGAGTGAGTGTATGAGTGAGTGTATGAGTGAGTGAGCGAGTGAGTGTACGAGTGAGTGAGTGTATGAGTGAGTGAGTGTATGAGTGTGTGAGTGAGTGAGTGAGTGAGCTACTCACACCAGATGGCGATGTCGTAGTGAGTGTATGAGTGAGTGTGTGAGTGAGTGTATGAGTGAGTGAGTGTATGAGTGAGTGTATGAGTGAGTGTATGAGTGTGTGAGTGAGTGAGTGAGTGTATGAGTGAGTGTATGAGTGAGTGAGTGTATGAGTGAGTGAGTGAGTGTATGAGTGAGTGAGTGAGTGTATGAGTGAGTGTATGAGTGAGTGAGTGTATGAGTGAGTGAGTGTATGAGTGAGTGTATGAGTGAGTGAGTGTATGAGTGAGTGAGTGTATGAGTGAGTGAGTGTATCAGTGAGTGAGTGTATGAGTGAGTGAGTGAGTGTATGAGTGAGTGAGTGAGTGTATGAGTGAGTGAGTGTATGAGTGAGTGTATGAGTGAGTGTATGAGTGAGTGAGCGAGTGAGTGTACGAGTGAGTGAGTGTATGAGTGAGTGAGTGTATGAGTGAGTGAGTGTATGAGTGAGTGTATGAGTGAGTGTATGAGTGAGTGTATGAGTGAGTGTATGAGTGAGTGAGTGAGCTACTCACACCAGATGGCGATGTCGTAGTGAGTGTATGAGTGAGTGAGTGAGTGTATGAGTGAGTGTATGAGTGAGTGAGTGTATGAGTGAGTGTATGAGTGAGTGAGTGTATGAGTGAGTGTATGAGTGAGTGTATGAGTGAGTGAGTGTATGAGTGAGTGAGTGAGTGTATGAGTGAGTGAGTGAGTGTATGAGTGAGTGTATGAGTGAGTGAGTGTATGAGTGAGTGAGTGTATGAGTGAGTGTATGAGTGAGTGAGTGTATGAGTGAGTGAGTGTATGAGTGAGTGAGTGTATCAGTGAGTGAGTGTATGAGTGAGTGAGTGAGTGTATGAGTGAGTGAGTGAGTGTATGAGTGAGTGAGTGTATGAGTGAGTGTATGAGTGAGTGTATGAGTGAGTGAGCGAGTGAGTGTACGAGTGAGTGAGTGTATGAGTGAGTGAGTGTATGAGTGAGTGAGTGTATGAGTGAGTGTATGAGTGAGTGTATGAGTGAGTGTATGAGTGAGTGTATGAGTGAGTGAGTGAGCTACTCACACCAGATGGCGATGTCGTAGTGAGTGTATGAGTGAGTGAGTGAGTGTATGAGTGAGTGTATGAGTGAGTGAGTGTATGAGTGAGTGTATGAGTGAGTGAGTGTATGAGTGAGTGTATGAGTGAGTGTATGAGTGAGTGAGCTACTCACACCAGATGGCGATGTCGTAGTGAGTGTACGCGTCCGTGAGAAACTCGTGCAGGAAGGGTCGCATCAGCTCCTGGCCGCTTTCAGCACACGACTTGTGGTCTACACACAGCACACTCACCACTCACTCACCACTCACTCACCACTCACTCATACACTCACTCACCACTCACTCACCACTCACTCACCACTCACTCACCACTCACTCACCACTCACTCACCACTCACTCACCACTCACTCACCACTCACTCACCACTCACTCATACACTCACTCACCACTCACTCATACACTCACTCACCACTCACTCATACACTCACTCACTCATACACTCACCACTCACTCACCACTCACTCACCACTCACACACCACTCACTCACCACTCACTCACCACTAACTCACCACTCACTCACCACTAACTCACCACTCACTCACCCACCCACTCACTCACTCACCCACTCACTCATACACTCACTCATACACTCACTCACTCACTCACCACTCACTCATACACTCACCACTCACTCACTCATACACTCACTCACTCATACACTCACTCACCACTCACTCACCACTCACTCACCACTCACTCACCACTCACTCACCACTCACTCACTCATACACTCACTCACTAATACACTCACTCACTCACTCAACCACTCACTCACCCACTCACTCATACACTCACTCATACACTCACTCACTCATACACTCACTCACTCACCACTCACCACTCACTCACCACTCACTCACCACTCACTCACCACTCACTCACCACTCACTCACCACTCACTCACCACTCACTCACCACTCACTCACCACTCACTCACCACTCACTCACCACTCACTCACCACTCACTCATACACTCACTCACTCACTCATACACTCATACACTCACTCATACACTCACTCATACACTCACCACTCACTCACCACTCACTCACCACTCACTCACCCACCCACTCACTCATACACTCACTCACTCACTCATACACTCATACACTCACTCATACACTCATACACTCACTCACTCATACACTCACTCACCACTCACTCACCACTCACTCATACACTCACTCACCACTCACTCACCACTCACTCATACACTCACTCACCACTCACTCACCACTCACTCACCACTCACTCACCACTCACTCACCCACCCACTCACTCACCCACTCACTCACTCACTCAACCACTCACTCACCCACTCACTCATACACTCACTCATACACTCACTCACTCATACACTCACTCACTCACCACTCACCACTCACTCACCACTCACTCACCACTCACTCACCACTCACTCACCACTCACTCACCACTCACTCACCACTCACTCACCACTCACTCACCACTCACTCACCACTCACTCACCACTCACTCACCACTCACTCATACACTCACTCACTCACTCATACACTCATACACTCACTCATACACTCACTCATACACTCACCACTCACTCACCACTCACTCACCACTCACTCACCCACCCACTCACTCATACACTCACTCACTCACTCATACACTCATACACTCACTCATACACTCATACACTCACTCACTCATACACTCACTCACCACTCACTCACCACTCACTCATACACTCACTCACCACTCACTCACCACTCACTCATACACTCACTCACCACTCACTCACCACTCACTCACCACTCACTCATACACTCACTCATACACTCACTCACCACTCACTCACCACTCACTCATACACTCACTCATACACTCACTCACTCATACACTCACTCATACACTCACTCATACACTCACTCAGTCATACACTCACTCATACACTCACTCACTCATACACTCACACACTCACACACTCATACACTCACTCATACACTCACCACTCACTCACCACTCACTCACCACTCACTCACCACTCACTCACCAACCACTCACTCACCACTCACTCACCACTCACTCACCCACTCACTCACCACTCACTCACCACTCACTCACTCACACACTCACTCATACACTCACTCATACACTCACTCACTCATACACTCACTCATACACTCACTCACACACTCACTCACTCACTCACCACTCACTCACCACTCACTCACCCACCCACTCACCACTCACTCACCACTCACTCACCACTCACTCACTCACCACTCACTCACCACTCACTCACCACTCACTCACCACTCACTCATACACTCACTCACTCACTCATACACTCACCACTCACTCACTCACCACTCACTCACCACTCACTCACTCATACACTCACTCACTAATACACTCACTCACCACTCACTCACCACTCACTCACCACTCACTCACCACTCACTCACCACTCACTCACCACTCACTCATACACTCACTCACCACTCACTCATACACTCACTCACCACTCACTCATACACTCACTCACTCACCACTCACTCACTCACTCACCACTCACTCACCACTCACTCACCACTCACTCACCACTCACTCACTCACCACTCACTCACCACTCACACACTCACTAATACACTCACTCACTCATACACTCACTCATACACTCACTCATACACTCACTCACTCATACACTCACTCATACACTCACTCACTCATACACTCACTCATACACTCACTCACTCATACACTCACTCATACACTCACTCATACACTCACTCACTCATACACTCACTCATACACTCACACACTCATACACTCACTCATACACTCACTCACTCATACACTCACTCATACACTCACTCACACACTCACTCACTCATACACTCACTCACACACTCACCACTCACTCACCACTCACTCACCACTCACTCACCCACCCACTCACCACTCACTCACCACTCACTCACTCACCACTCACTCACCACTCACTCACCACTCACTCACTCACCACTCACTCACCACTCACCCACCCACTCACTCACCACTCACACACTCACTCATACACTCACTCATACACTCACTCACTCATACACTCACTCATACACTCACTCATACACTCACCACTCACTCACCACTCACTCACCACTCACTCACTCATACACTCACTCACTCATACACTCACACACTCACACACTCACTCACACACTCACTCATACACTCACCACTCACTCACCACTCACTCACCACTCACTCATACACTCACTCACCACTCACTCACTCACTCATACACTCACACACTCATACACTCACACACTCATACACTCACCACTCACTCACCACTCACTCACCACTCACTCACTCATTCACTCACTCACCACTCACTCACCACTCACTCACTCATACACTCACCCACTCATACACTCACTCACTCACCACTCACCCACTCACTCACCACTCACTCACTCACTCACCACTCACTCACCACTCACTCACCACTCACTCACCTACTCACCCACCCACTCATTCACTCACTCACTCACCCACTCACTCACCCACTCACTCACTCACCCACTCACTCACCCACTCACTCACCCACTCACTCACCCACTCACTCACTCACCCACTCACTCACCCACTCACTCACCCACTCACTCACTCACCCACTCACTCACTCACTCACCAGTGGTGGTGGTTGTGTTAGTAGCGGTGTTTGTCTGAGTGATTGTGGCTGTTGTGTTAGTGGTTGTGGTTGTTGTGTTAGTGGTTGTGGTGGTTGTTGTGTTAGTGGTTGTGGTGGTTGTTGTGTTGGTGGTTGTGGTGGTTGTTGTGTTGGTGGTTGTGGTGGTTGTTGTGTTGGTGGTTGTGGTGGTTGTTGTGTTGGTGGTTGTGGTGGTTGTTGTGTTGGTGGTTGTGGTGGTTGTTGTGGTGGTGGTTGTGGTGGTTGTTGTGTTGGTGGTTGTGGTGGTTGTTGTGTTGGTGGTTGTGGTGGTTGTTGTGTTGGTGGTTGTGGTGGTTGTTGTGTTGGTGGTTGTGGTGGTTGTTGTGTTGGTGGTTGTGGTGGTTGTGTTAGCGGCTGTGGTGGTGGCGGTGGCTGTTGTGTTAGTGGTTGTGGTGGTTGTTGTGTTAGTGGTTGTGGTGGTTGTTGTGTTGGTGGTTGTGGTTGTTGTGTTAGCAGCTGTGGCTGTTGTTGTGTTAGCGGCTGTGGTAGTGGTTGTTGTGTTAGTGGTTGTGGTGTTGGTGGTGTTGGTGGTGGTGCTGGTGGTGTTGGTGGTGCTGGTGGTGTTGGTGGTTGTGGTGGTGGTGCTGGTGGTTGTTGTGTTAGTGGTGGTGTTGGTGGTGTTGCTGGTGGTGTTGGTGGTGCTGGTGGTGTTGGTGGTTGTGGTGGTGGTGCTGGTGGTTGTTGTGTTAGTGGTGGTGTTGGTGGTGTTGCTGGTGGTGCTGGTGGTGGTGGTGTTGGTGGTGCTGGTAGTGGTTGTTGTGTTAGCGGCTGTGGTGCTGGTGGTGGTGGTGCTGGTGGTGGTGGTGGTGTTGGTGGTGCTGGTGGTGGTGGTGGTGTTGGTGGTGTTGGTGCTGGTGGTGTTAGTGGTGTTGTTGTGTTAGTGGTTGTGTTGCTGGTGGTGTTGCTGGTGGTGCTGGTGGTGTTAGCGGTTGTTGTGTTAGTGGTTGTGTTGGTGGTGTTGCTGGTGGTGCTGGTGCTTACCAAACAGAGTGTAGTCAACATCCAAGACAAGCAGCTTTTTGTTTGGTCGTGGTGGCTGCATGAGAGACAAGTGGTAGTGCCTCACCCTCCTCACCACCTTACGCACGTTCTCCTCACTAGCTCACCACCACAACAACAACCACAACAACAACAACACAACAACAACAACATCAGTGGTGAGTGGTGGTGAGTGGTGAGTGTTGGTGGTGAGTGGTGAGTGTTGGTGGTGAGTGTACGGGCTGCATGAGAGACAAGTGGTAGTGCCTCACCCTCCTCACCACCTTACGCACGTTCTCCTCACTAGCTCACCACCACAACAACAACAACAACCACAACAACAACAGTGGTGAGTGTTGGTGGTGAGTGGTGAGTGTTGGTGGTGAGTGTACAGGCTGCATGAGAGACAAGTGGTAGTGCCTCACCCTCCTCACCACCTTACGCACGTTCTCCTCACTAGCTCACCACAACAACAACAACCACAACCACAACAACAACAGTGGTGAGTGGTGTTGGTGGTGAGTGGTGGTGGTGGTGGTGAGTGTTGGTGGTGAGTGTACAGGCTGCATGAGAGACAAGTGGTAGTGCCTCACCCTACTCACCACCTTACGCACATTCTCCTCACCAGCTCACCACCACAACAACAACAACAGTGGTGAGTGGTGAGTGGTGGTGGTGAGTGGTGGTGGTGGTGGTGAGTGGTGAGTGGTGGTGGTGAGTGGTGGTGAGTGGTGAGTGGTGGTGGTGGTGAGTGGTGGTGGTGGGGGTGAGTGGTGGTGGTGAGTGGTGTTGGTGGTGAGTGTTGGTGGTGAGTGGTGGTGGTGGTGAGTGGTGAGTGGTGGTGGTGAGTGGTGAGTGTTGGTGGTGAGTGTACAGGCTGCATGAGAGACAAGTGGTAGTGCCTCACCCTACTCACCACCTTACGCACATTCTCCTCACCAGCTCACCACCACAACAACAACAACAGTGGTGAGTGGTGAGTGGTGGTGGTGAGTGGTGGTGGTGGTGGTGAGTGGTGAGTGGTGGTGGTGAGTGGTGGTGAGTGGTGAGTGGTGGTGGTGGTGAGTGGTGGTGGTGGGGGTGAGTGGTGGTGGTGAGTGGTGTTGGTGGTGAGTGTTGGTGGTGAGTGGTGGTGGTGGTGAGTGGTGAGTGGTGGTGGTGAGTGGTGAGTGTTGGTGGTGAGTGTACAGGCTGCATGAGAGACAAGTGGTAGTGCCTCACCCTACTCACCACCTTACGCACATTCTCCTCACCAGCTCACCACCACAACAACAACAACAGTGGTGAGTGGTGAGTGGTGGTGGTGAGTGGTGGTGGTGGTGGTGAGTGGTGAGTGGTGGTGGTGAGTGGTGGTGAGTGGTGAGTGGTGGTGGTGGTGAGTGGTGGTGGTGGGGGTGAGTGGTGAGTGGTGGTGGTGAGTGGTGTTGTTGGTGAGTGGTGGTGGTGAGTGGTGGTGAGTGGTGAGTGTTGGTGGTGAGTGTACAGGCTGCATGAGAGACAAGTGGTAGTGCCTCACCCTACTCACCACCTTACACACGTTCTCCTCACTAGCTCACCACCACAACAACAACAACAACCACAACAACAACAGTGGTGAGTGGTGGTGGTGAGTGTTGGTGGTGAGTGTACTGGCTGCATGAGAGACAAGTGGTAGTGCCTCACCCTACTCACCACCTTACGCACGTTCTCCTCACCAGCTCACCACCACAACAACAACAACAACAGTGGTGAGTGGTGAGTGGTGGTGGTGAGTGGTGGTGGTGGTGGTGGTGAGTGGTGAGTGGTGGTGGTGAGTGGTGGTGAGTGGTGAGTGGTGGTGGTGGTGAGTGGTGGTGGTGGGGGTGAGTGGTGAGTGGTGGTGGTGAGTGGTGTTGGTGGTGAGTGGTGAGTGGTGGTGGTGAGTGGTGAGTGTTGGTGGTGAGTGTACTGGCTGCATGAGAGACAAGTGGTAGTGCCTCACCCTCCTCACCACCTTACGCACGTTCTCCTCACTAGCTCACCACCACAACAACAACAACAACCACAACAACAACAGTGGTGAGTGGTGGTGAGTGGTGAGTGTTGGTGGTGAGTGTACAGGCTGCATGAGAGACAAGTGGTAGTGCCTCACCCTCCTCACCACCTTACACACGTTCTCCTCACTAGCTCACCACCACAACAACAACAACAGTGGTGAGTGGTGAGTGGTGGTGGTGAGTGGTGAGTGTTGGTGGTGAGTGTACAGGCTGCATGAGAGACGAGTGGTAGTGCCTCACCCTACTCACCACCTTACACACGTTCTCCTCACTAGCTCACCACAACAACAACAACAACAGTGGTGAGTGTTGGTGGTGAGTGGTGAGTGTTGGTGGTGAGTGTACAGGCTGCATGAGAGACGAGTGGTAGTGCCTCACCCTACTCACCACCTTACACACGTTCTCCTCACTAGCTCACCACCACAACAACAACAACAACAGTGGTGAGTGGTGAGTGGTGGTGGTGAGTGGTGGTGGTGGTGGTGGTGAGTGGTGGTGGTGGTGGTGAGTGTTGGTGGTGAGTGGTGGTGGTGGTGAGTGGTGAGTGTTGGTGGTGAGTGTTGGTGGTGAGTGGTGGTGGTGGTGAGTGGTGAGTGTTGGTGGTGAGTGGTGAGTGTTGGTGGTGAGTGTTGGTGGTGAGTGGTGGTGGAGGTGGTGGTGAGTGGTTGTGGTGAGTGGTGAGTGGTGGTGGTGAGTGGTGAGTGTTGGTGGTGAGTGTACAGGCTGCATGAGAGACGAGTGGTAGTGCCTCACCCTACTCACCACCTTACACACGTTCTCCTCACTAGCTCACCACAACAACAACAACAACAGTGGTGAGTGTTGGTGGTGAGTGGTGAGTGTTGGTGGTGAGTGTACAGGCTGCATGAGAGACGAGTGGTAGTGCCTCACCCTACTCACCACCTTACACACGTTCTCCTCACTAGCTCACCACCACAACAACAACAACAACAGTGGTGAGTGGTGAGTGGTGGTGGTGAGTGGTGGTGGTGGTGGTGAGTGGTGGTGGTGGTGGTGAGTGTTGGTGGTGAGTGGTGGTGGTGGTGAGTGGTGAGTGTTGGTGGTGAGTGTTGGTGGTGAGTGGTGGTGGTGGTGAGTGGTGAGTGTTGGTGGTGAGTGGTGAGTGTTGGTGGTGAGTGTTGGTGGTGAGTGGTGGTGGAGGTGGTGGTGAGTGGTTGTGGTGAGTGGTGAGTGGTGGTGGTGAGTGGTGAGTGTTGGTGGTGAGTGTACAGGCTGCATGAGAGACAAGTGGTAGTGCCTCACCCTACTCACCACCTTACGCACGTTCTCCTCACTAGCTCACCACAACAACAACAACAACAGTGGTGAGTGGTGAGTGTTGGTGGTGAGTGGTGGTGAGTGGTGAGTGGTGGTGGTGGTGAGTGGTGAGTGGTGGTGGTGAGTGGTGGTGAGTGGTGAGTGGTGGTGGTGGTGAGTGGTGGTGGTGAGTGTTGGTGGTGAGTGGTGAGTGTTGGTGGTGAGTGTACAGGCTGCATGAGAGACGAGTGGTAGTGCCTCACCCTCCTCACCACCTTACACACGTTCTCCTCACTAGCTCACCACCACAACAACAACAACAACCACAACAACAACAGTGGTGAGTGGTGGTGGTGAGTGTTGGTGGTGAGTGTACAGGCTGCATGAGAGACAAGTGGTAGTGCCTCACCCTACTCACCACCTTACGCACGTTCTCCTCACTAGCTCACCACAACAACAACAACAACAGTGGTGAGTGGTGAGTGTTGGTGGTGAGTGTTGGTGGTGAGTGTACAGGCTGCATGAGAGACAAGTGGTAGTGCCTCACCCTACTCACCACCTTACGCACGTTCTCCTCACCAGCTCACCACCACCACAACAACAACAACCACAACAACAACCACAACAACCACAACAACAGTGGTGAGTGGTGAGTGGTGGTGGTGGTGGTGGTAGTGGTGATGATGGTGATGGTGGTGGTGATGGTGGTGGTGATGGTGATGGTGGTGGTGAGTGGTGATGGTGGTGGTGAGTGGTGGTGGTGGTGAGTGGTGGTGATGGTGGTGGTGAGTGGTGGTGGTGGTGGTGAGTGGTGGTGGTGGTGGTGAGTGGTGGTGGTGGTGGTGGTGGTGATGGTGGTGATGGTGGTGAGTGGTGGTGAGTGGTGAGTGTTGGTGGTGAGTGTACAGGCTGCATGAGAGACAAGTGGTAGTGCCTCACCCTACTCACCACCTTACGCACGTTCTCCTCACTAGCTCACCACAACAACAACAACAACAACCACAACAACAACAGTGGTGAGTGGTGGTGATGGTGGTGGTGGTGGTGGTGATGGTGGTGGTGGTGGTGGTGAGTGGTGGTGGTGGTGGTGAGTGGTGGTGGTGGTGGTGAGTGGTGGTGGTGATGGTGGTGAGTGGTGGTGAGTGGTGAGTGTTGGTGGTGAGTGTACAGGCTGCATGAGAGACAAGTGGTAGTGCCTCACCCTCCTCACCACCTTACACACGTTCTCCTCACCAGCTCACCACCACCACAACAATATCAGTGGTGAGTGGTGAGTGGTGAGTGTTGGTGGTGAGTGGTGAGTGTTGGTGGTGAGTGTACAGGCTGCATGAGAGACAAGTGGTAGTGCCTCACCCTACTCACCACCTTACACACGTTCTCCTCACTAGCTCACCACAACAACAACAACAATATCAGTGGTGAGTGGTGAGTGGTTGTGGTGAGTGGTGGTGGTGGTGGTGGTGAGTGGTGGTGGTGAGTGGTGGTGGTGAGTGGTGGTGGTGAGTGGTGGTGGTGAGTGGTTGTGGTGAGTGGTTGTGGTGAGTGGTGGTGAGTGGTGGTGGTGAGTGGTGGTGGTGAGTGGTGGTGGTGGTGGTGGTGGTGAGTGGTGGTGGTGGTGGTGGTGGTGAGAGTGGTGGTGGTGAGTGGTTGTGGTGGTGAGTGGTGAGTGGTGGTGGTGAGTGGTGGTGGTGAGTGGTGGTGGTGAGTGGTGGTGGTGGTGAGTGGTGGTGGTGGTGGTGAGTGGTGAGTGGTGGTGGTGAGTGGTGAGTGGTGGTGGTGGTGAGTGGTGGTGAGTGGTGGTGGTGAGTGGTGGTGGTGGTGAGTGGTGAGTGGTGGTGGTGAGTGGTGGTGGTGAGTGGTGGTGGTGAGTGGTGGTGAGTGGTGTTGGTGGTGGTGGTGAGCGTGGTGAGTGGTGGTGAGCGTGGTGTTGGTGAGTGGTGGTGGTGGTGGTGAGTGGTTGTGGTGAGTGGTGGTGATGATAGTGAGCGTGGTGTTGGTAGTGAGTGGTGGTGGTGGTGAGTGGTGGTGGTGAGTGGTGGTGGTGAGTGGTGGTGGTGAGTGGTGGTGGTGAGTGGTTGTGGTGAGTGGTGGTGGTGAGTGGTTGTGGTGAGTGGTGAGTGGTTGTGGTGAGTGGTTGTGGTGAGTGGTGGTGGTGAGTGGTGGTGGTGAGTGGTGAGTGGTGGTGGTGAGTGGTGAGTGGTTGTGGTGAGTGGTGGTGGTGGTGAGTGGTTGTGGTGAGTGGTTGTGGTGAGTGGTGGTGGTGAGTGGTTATGGTGAGTGGTGGTGGTGAGTGGTGGTGGTGAGTGGTGGTGGTGAGTGGTGGTGGTGAGTGGTGGTGGTGAGCGTGTTGAGTGGTGGTGGTGAGTGGTGGTGGTGAGTGGTTGTGGTGAGTGGTGGTGGTGGTGATTGGTTGTGGTGAGTGGTGGTGGTGAGTGGTTGTGGTGAGTGGTGGTGGTGGTGGTGAGTGGTGGTGGTGAGTGGTTGTGGTGAGTGGTTGTGGTGAGTGGTGGTGGTGAGTGGTGGTGATGATAGTGAGCGTGGTGTTGGTAGTGAGTGGTGGTGGTGGTGAGTGGTGGTGAGTGGTGGTGGTGAGTGGTTATGTAGAGTGGTTGTGGTGAGTGGTTGTGGTGAGTGGTTGTGGTGAGTGGTTGTGGTGAGTGGTGGTGGTGAGTGGTGGTGGTGAGTGGTGGTGAGTGGTGGTGAGTGGTGGTGGTGAGTGGTGGTGGTGGTGAGTGGTGAGTGGTTGTGGTGAGTGGTGGTGATGATAGTGAGCGTGGTGTTGGTAGTGAGTGGTGGTGGTGGTGAGTGGTGAGTGGTTGTGGTGAGTGGTGGTGGTGAGTGGTTGTGGTGAGTGGTGGTGGTGAGTGGTGGTGGTGAGTGGTTGTGGTGAGTGGTGGTGGTGAGTGGTGAGTGGTGGTGGTGAGTGGTTATGGTGAGTGGTTGTGGTGAGTGGTGGTGGTGGTGAGTGGTGGTGGTGAGTGGTGGTGGTGAGTGGTGGTGGTGGTGGAGGTGGTGGTGAGGGTGGTGTTGGTAGTGAGTGGTTGTGGTGGTGGTTGTGGTGAGTGGTGGTTGTGGTGAGTGGTGGTGGTGAGTGGTGGTGGTGAGTGGTGGTGGTGAGTGGTTGTGGTGAGTGGTTGTGGTGAGTGGTGGTGGTGAGTGGTGGTGGTGAGTGGTGGTGGTGAGTGGTGGTGGTGAGGAGTGGTGGTGGTGGTGAGGGTGGTGTTGGTAGTGAGTGGTTGTGGTGAGTGGTTTTGGTGAGTGGTGGTGGTGGTGAGTGGTGGTGAGTGGTGGTGGTGGTGAGTGGTGAGTGGTTGTGGTGAGTGGTGGTGAGTGGTGAGTGGTGGTGGTGAGTGGTGGTGGTGAGTGGTGGTGGTGAGTGGTGGTGGTGAGTGGTGGTGGTGAGTGGTGGTGGTGGTGGTGGTGGTGAGAGTGGTGGTGGTGAGTGGTGGTGGTTGTGAGTTGTGAGTGGTGGTGGTGAGTGGTGAGTGGTGGTGGTGGTGGTGAGTGGTGGTGGTGGTGAGTGGTGGTGGTGAGTGGTGGTGGTGGTGAGTGGTGAGTGGTGGTGGTGAGTGGTGGTGGTGGTGGTGAGTGGTGGTGGTGGTGAGTGGTGGTGGTGAGTGGTGGTGGTGGTGAGTGGTGAGTGGTGGTGGTGAGTGGTGGTGGTGGTGGTGAGTGGTGGTGAGTGGTGGTTGTGGTGGTGGTGAGCGTGGTGGTGAGTGGTGGTTGTGGTGGTGAGTGGTGTTGGTGGTGGTGGTGAGCGTGGTGAGTGGTGGTGAGCGTGGTGTTGGTGGTGGTGGTGAGTGGTGGTTGTGGTGAGTGGTGGTGAGTGGTGGTGGTGATGGTGAGCGTGGTGAGTGGTGGTGGTGGTGAGAGTGGTGGTGGTGAGTGGTGAGTGGTGGTGGTGGTGAGTGGTTGTGATGAGTGGTGGTGAGTGGTGGTGGTGAGTGGTGGTGAGTGGTGGTGGTGAGTGGTGGTGGTGAGTGGTGGTGGTGGTGGTGGGGGTGGTGGTGGTGGAGGTGGTGGTGATGGTGAGCGTGGTGAGTGGTTGTGGTGGTGAGTGGTGGTGGTGAGTGGTGAGTGGTTGTGGTGAGTGGTGGTGAGTGGTGAGGAGTGGTTATGGTGAGTGGTGGTGAGTGGTGGTGAGTGGTTGTGGTGAGTGGTGGTGAGGAGTGGTTGTGGTGAGTGGTGGTGGTGGTGGTGAGTGGTTGTGGTGAGTGGTGGTGGTGAGTGGTGGTGAGGAGTGGTTGTGGTGAGTGGTGGTGAGGAGTGGTTGTGGTGAGTGGTTATGGTGAGTGGTGGTGGTGGTAAGTGGTGGTGATGGTTGTGAGTGGTGGTTGTGAGTGGTGAGTGGTGGTGAGTGGTTGTGAGTGGTGGTGAGTGGTTGTGGTGAGTGGTGAGTGGTGGTGGTGAGTGGTGAGTGGTTGTGGTGAGTGGTGGTGGTCAGTGGTTGTGGTGAGTGGTGGTGGTGAGTGGTGGTGGTGAGTGGTGGTGGTGGTGAGTGGTGGTGAGTGGTTGTGGTGAGTGGTTGTGGTGAGTGGTTGTGGTGAGTGGTGGTGGTGGTGAGTGGTGGTGGTGGTGAGCGTGTTGAGTGGTGGTGGTGAGTGGTGGTGAGTGGTGGTGGTGAGTGGTGAGTGGTGGTGGTGAGTGGTGGTGAGTGGTTGTGGTGAGTGGTGGTGTTGGTAGTGAGTGGTTGTGGTGAGTGGTGAGTGGTGAGTGGTGGTGGTGAGTGGTGAGTGGTGGTGAGTGGTGAGTGGTTGTGGTGAGTGGTGGTGGTTACTCACCGGCATTCCAGCTCCACCTCCTCCTCCTCTTCAATGTCAAAGTCGTTGACAACTTCACCACCACCACCACCACACGGCACAGCGAGAACCTCCTCCTGCACGCTCACCACCACCACTCACCACGCTCACCACCTCCACGCTCACCACCTCCACGCTCACCACCTCCTCACCACGCTCACCACCACCACGCTCACCACCACCACCACACGGCACAGCGAGAACCTCCTCCTGCACGCTCACCACCACCACTCACCACGCTCACCACCACGCTCACCACTCACCACCACCACTCACCACGCTCACCACCACCACTCACCACGCTCACCACCTCCTCACCACGCTCACCACCTCCACGCTCACCACCACCACGCTCACCACCACCACCACACGGCACAGCGAGAACCTCCTCCTGCACGCTCACCACCACCACTCACCACGCTCACCACCACCACCACTCACCACTTACCACCACCACCACCACGCTCACCACCACCACCACACGGCACAGCGAGAACCTCCTCCTGCACGCTCACCACCACCACTCACCACGCTCACCACCACCACTCACAACGCTCACCACCACCACCACCACTCTCACCACCACCACCACACGGCACAGCGAGAACCTCCTCCTGCACGCTCACCACCACCACGCTCACCACGCTCACCACCACGCTCACCACTCACCACCACCACTCACCACGCTCACCACCACCACCACTCACCACCACGCTCACCACCACCACTCACCACGCTCACCACCACCACCACCACTCACCACGCTCATCACCACCACGCTCACCACCACTCACCATTCACCACGCTCACAACGCTCACCACCACTCACCACGCTCACCACCACCACCACCCACCACTCACCACTCACCACGCTCACAACGCTCACCACCACTCACCACGCTCACCACCACCACGCTCACCACCACCACTCAACACTCACCACCCCATCACCAATGATAAGCGTGTTGAGTGAGTGAGTGAATGGGTGGGTGGGTGAGTGAGTGAGTGGGTGAGTGAGTGGGTGAGTGGGTGAGTGAGTGAGTGGGTGAGTGAGTGAGTAGGTGAGTGAGTGAGTGGGTGAGTGAGTGGGTGAGTGGGTGACAGAGTGGGTGACAGAGTGTGTGAGTGAGCTGGTGAGTGGGTGAGTGAGTGGGTGAGTGGGTGGGTGAGTGGGTGGGTGAGTGAGTGGGTGAGTGAGTAGGTGAGTAGGTGAGTGAGTGGGTGAGTGAGTGAGTGAGTAGGTGAGTGGGTGAGTGAGTGGGTGAGTGAGTGGGTGAGTGAGTAGGTGAGTGGGTGAGTGAGTGGGTGAGTGGGTGGGTGAGTGAGTGGGTGAGTGAGTAGGTGAGTAGGTGAGTGGGTGAGTGAGTGGGTGAGTGAGTAGGTGAGTGAGTAGGTGAGTGGGTGAGTGAGTAGGTGAGTGGGTGAGTGAGTGAGTGAGTGGGTGAGTGAGTGGGTGAGTGGGTGGGTGAGTGGGTGAGTGAGTAGGTGAGTAGGTGAGTGAGTAGGTGAGTGAGTGAGTGAGTGGGTGAGTGAGTGGGTGAGCGAGTGGGTGAGTGAGTGAGTGGGTGAGTGAGTGAGTAGGTGAGTGAGTGGGTGGGTGAGTGAGTGAGAGGGTGAGTGAGTGGGTGAATGAGTGAGTGGGTGAGTGAGTGGGTCAGTGAGTGAGTGAGTAGGTGAGTGGGTGAGTGAGTGGGTGAGTGAGTGGGTGAGTGAGTAGGTGAGTGGGTGAGTGGGTGAGTGGGTGGGTGAGTGAGTGGGTGAGTGAGTAGGTGAGTAGGTGAGTGGGTGAGTGAGTGGGTGAGTGAGTAGGTGAGTGAGTAGGTGAGTGGGTGAGTGAGTAGGTGAGTGGGTGAGTGAGTGAGTGAGTGGGTGAGTGAGTGAGTGAGTAGGTGAGTGAGTGGGTGAGCGAGTGGGTGAGTGAGTAGGTGAGTAGGTGAGTGGGTGAGTGAGTGGGTGAGTGAGTAGGTGAGTGAGTGTGTGAGTGAGTGGGTGAGTGAGTGTGTGAGTGAGTGAGTGTATGAGTGAGTGAGTGAGTAGGTGAGTGAGTGAGTGAGTGGGTGAGTGAGTGAGTGGGTGAGTGAGTGGGTGAGTGAGTAGGTGAGTGAGTGAGTGGGTGAGTGAGTGGGTGAGTGGGTGAGTGAGTGAGTGGGTGAGTGAGTGGGTGAGTGAGTAGGTGAGTGAGTGAGTGGGTGGGTGAGTGAGTGGGTGAGTGGGTGAGTAGGTGAGTGAGTAGGTGAGTAGGTGAGTGGGTGAGTGAGTGAGTGAGTGGGTGAGTGGGTGAGTGAGTGAGTGAGTGGGTGAGTGAGTGAGTGAGTGGGTGAGTGGGTGAGTAGGTGAGTGAGTGGGTGAGTGAGTAGGTGAGTGGGTGAGTGAGTGGGTGAGTGAGTGGGTGAGGGAGTGAGTGGGTGAGTGAGTGGGTGAGTGAGTAGGTGAGTGGGTGAGTGAGTGGGTGAGTGGTGAGTGAGTGGGTGAGTGAGTGTATGAGTGAGTGAGTGAGTGGGTGAGTGAGTGAGTGGGTGAGTGAGTGGGTGAGTGAGTGAGTGGGTGAGTGAGTGAGTGAGTGGGTGAGTGAGTGAGCGGGTGAGCGAGTGATTGGGTGAGTGGTTGAGTGGGTGAGTGAGTAGGTGAGTGAGTAGGTGAGTGAGTGGGTGAGTGAGTGGGTGGGTGAGTGGGTGAGTGGTGAGTGAGTGGGTGAGTGAGTGTATGAGTGAGTGGGTGAGTGAGTGAGTGGGTGAGTGAGTGGGTGAGTGAGTGAGTGGGTGAGTGAGTGAGTGAGTGGGTGAGTGTGTGAGTGAGTGAGTGGGTGAGTGAGTGGGTGGGTGAGTGGGTGAGTGAGTAGGTGAGTGAGTAGGTGAGTGAGTGGGTGAGTGAGTGGGTGGGTGAGTGGGTGAGTGAGTGGGTGAGTGAGTGGGTGAGTGGGTGGGTGAGTGAGTGGGTGAGTGAGCTGGTGAAGTCCTCACCAGAGTCTCTTCCCGGCTACCCACTAGCATGATCTTAGCGTGCGGCTTGAGACGGAGCGAGGCCAAGACCACATCATCACCAGCTGGCTGACCTGCAAAACACAACACACTCACCACCACACTCACCACCACACTCACCACCACACTCACCACCACACTCACCAACACACTCACCAACACACTCACCACCACACTCACCACCACACTCACCAACACACTCACCACCACACTCACCAACACACTCACCACCACACTCACCACCACACTCACCAACACACTCACCACCACCACACTCACCACCACGCTCACCACCACCACACTCACCACCACACTCACCACCACACTCACCACCACCACGCTCACCACCACCCTCACCACCACACTCACCACCACACTCACCACCACGCTCACCACCACGCTCACCACCACACTCACCACCACACTCACCACCACACTCACCACCACACTCACCACCACACTCACCACCACACTCACCAACACACTCACCACCACCACACTCACCACCACGCTCACCACCACCACACTCACCACCACACTCACCACCACACTCACCAACACACTCACCACCACACTCACCACCACACTCACCAACACACTCACCACCACCACACTCACCACCACGCTCACCACCACCACACTCACCACCACACTCACCACCACACTCACCAACACACTCACCACCACCACACTCACCACCACGCTCACCACCACCACACTCACCACCACACTCACCACCACGCTCACCACCACACTCACCACCACACCCACCACCACACTCACCACCACACTCACCACCACCACGCTCACCAACACACTCACCACCACACTCACCACCACACTCACCACCACACTCACCACCACGCTCACCACCACACTCAACACCACGCTCACCACCACACTCAACACCACACTCACCAACACACTCACCACCACGCTCACCACCACGCTCACCACCACGCTCACCACCACACTCACCACCACACTCACCACCACACTCACCACCACACTCACCAACACACTCACCACCACCACACTCACCAACACGCTCACCACCACACTCACCACCAGCACCACCACCAGCACCACCACAACACTCACCACCACACTCACCACCACGCTCGCCACCACACTCACCACCACACTCACCACCACCACGCTCACCAACACACTCACCACCACACTCACCACCACACTCACCACCACGCTCACCACCACACTCACCACCACCACACTCACCACCACGCTCACCACCACCACGCTCACCAACACACTCACCACCACACTCACCACCACACTCACCACCACGCTCACCACCACACTCACCACCACACTCACCACTACACTCACCACCACACTCACCACCACACTCACCACCACACTCACCAACACGCTCACCACCACACTCACCACCACCACACTCACCACCACACTCACCACCACCACTACACTCACCACCACACTCACCACCACACTCACCACCACACTCACCACCACCACACTCACCACCACACTCACCACCACCACCACACTCACCACCACGCTCACCACCACGCTCACCACCATGCTCACCACCACACTCACCACCACACTCACCACCACACTCACCACCACGCTTACCACCACGCTCACCACCACGCTCACCACTACCACCACCACACTCACCACCAGCACCACCACACTCACCACCAGCACCACCACACTCACCACCACACTCACCACCACACTCACCACCACCACACTCACCACCAGCACCACCACACTCACCACTACGCTCACCACCACCACCACCACCACCACGCTCACCACCACGCTCACCACCACCACACTCACCACCACGCTCACCAACACGCTCACCACCACCACCACTCACCCACTCACCCACCCACTCACCCACCCACCAACCCACCCACTCACCCACCCTTTCACCAACCCACCCACTCACCCACCCACTCACCCACCCACCAACCCACCCACTCACCAACCCACCCACCAACCCACCCACTCACCCACCCACTCACCAACCCACCCACTCACCAACCCACCCACTCACCCACTCACCCACCCACCCACCCACTCACTCACCCGCCCACCTACTCAACCACCCACCCACTCACCCACCCACCCACCAACCCATCCACCCACCAACCCACTCACCCACCCACCAACCCACCCACTCACCCACCCTTTCACCAACCCACCCACTCACCCACCCACTCACCCACCCACCCACCCACTCACCCACTCACCCATCCACCCACTCACACACCCACCCACCCACCCACTCACCCACTCACCCACCCACCCACTCACCCACCCACTCACCCACTCACCCACCCACCCACCCACTCACCCACTCACCCACCCACTCACCCACTCACTCACTCACCCACCCACTCACCCACCCCCCCACTAACCCCACCCACCCCCTAACCCCACCCACCCCCCCACCCACACACACCCCCCCACTAACCCACTCACCCCCCCACTAACCCACCCACTCACCCCCCCACTCACCCACCCACCCACCCACCCCACCCACTCACCCCGAACCCTCAACCCAAGCAACTTCTGCCGGTGAATCCGGACGCCGGTTAGCTCCTGCAGCGCCCTCTTGAGGCACCGGACCGTGGCGTCGGACGGAAACGCAGGCACAGAGATCTCCTGCCCGGCCCACCGGACCGTCAGTGGCAGGGCCGACATGGCCACGATCCTGTGGGCGGTGTGTGTGTGTGTGTGTGGAGGTGCCACTCCACGTTAGCGTGGCCGGGAGCGCGCGGAGACGCGTCACAACGGTAAGGGTCGGAGAATCGCCGTCACGCAGAGGGGAGAGAGCCACAGACTCACACAGGGACCCATAGAGACCCATAGAGACCCATAGACTCATCACTACACAGAGACCCATAGAGACCCATAGACTCACCACCATCACACAGACACCCATAGAAACCCATAGAGACCCATAGAGACCCACAGACTCATCATCACCACACAGAGACCCATAGAGACCCATAGAGACCCATAGAAACCCACCACCATCACACAGAGACCCATAGAGACCCATAGAGACCCATAGACTCATCACCACACAGAGACCCATAGAGACCCATAGAGACCCATAGACTCATCATCACCACACAGAGACCCATAGACTCATCATCACCACACAGAGACCCATAGACTCACACAGAGACCCATAGACTCATCACCACACAGAGACCCATAGACTCACCACCACACAGAGACCCATAGACTCACCACCACACAGAGACCCATAGACTCATCATCACACAGAGACCCATAGACTCACCACCACACAGAGACCCATAGACTCATCATCACACAGAGACCCATAGAGACCCACAGAGACCCACAGACTCATCATCACCACACAGAGACCCATAGAGACCCATAGACTCACACAGAGACCTATAGAGACCCATAGAGACCCATAGAGACCCATAGACTCACACAGAGACCCATAGAGACCCATAGAGACCCACAGAGACCCATAGACTCATCACTACACAGAGACCCATAGAGACCCATAGAGACCCATAGACTCATCACCACACAGAGACCCATAGACTCACACAGAGACCCATAGAGACCCACAGAGACCCACCATCATCACACAGAGATCCATAGAGACCCATAGAGACCCACCACCATCACACAGAGACCCATAGAGACCCATAGAGACCCATAGAGACCCATAGACTCATCACTACACAGAGACCCATAGAGACCCATAGACTCATCACTACACAGAGACCCATAGAGACCCATAGAGACCCACAGACTCACACAGAGACCCATAGAGACCCATAGACTCATCATCACCACACAGAGACCCATAGACTCATCATCACCACACAGAGACCCATAGACTCATCATCACCACACAGAGACCCATAGAGACCCATAGAGACCCACAGACTCACACAGAGACCCATAGAGACCCATAGGGACCCATAGACTCATCATCACCACACAGAGACCCATAGACTCATCATCACCACACAGAGACCCATAGACTCACACAGAGACCCATAGAGACCCATAGACTCATCATCACACAGAGACCCATAGACTCACACAGAGACCCATAGAGACCCATAGACTCATCATCACACAGAGACCTATAGAGACCCACCACCATCACGCAGAGACCCATAGACTCACACAGAGACCCATAGACTCACACAGATAGCCATAGATTCACCACCACCACACAGAGACCCATAGACTCCCCATCCCACAGAGACCCATAGACTCACCACCACACAGAGACCCATAGACTCACCACCATCACACAGAGACCCATAGACTCACACAGAGACCCATAGACTCATCACCACACAGAGACCCATAGAGACCCACAGAGACCCATAGAGACCCACCACCATCACACAGAGACACATAGACTCACACAGAGACCCATAGACTCACGCAGAGACCCATAGACTCATCACCACACAGAGACCCATAGACTCACACAGAGACCCATAGACTCACACAGAGACCTATAGAGACCCACAGAGACCCATAGACTCACACAGAGACCCATAGACTCACCACCACACAGAGACCCATAGACTCATCATCACCACACAGAGACCCATAGACTCACCAGCACACAGAGACCCATAGACTCACCACCACACAGAGACCTATAGACTCATCATCACTACACAGAGACCCATAGACTCACTACCACACAGAGACCCATAGACTCACTCACACAGAGACCAATAGACTCACTCACACAGAGACCCATAGACTCACTCACACAGAGACCCATAGACTCACTCACACAGAGACCCATAGACTCACCACCACACAGAGACCCATAGACTCACCATCACACAGAGACCCATAGACTCATCATCACACAGAGACCCATAGACTCATCACACACACACAGAGACTCATAGACTCACCACCACACAGAGACCCATAAACTCACCACAGAGACCCATAGCGTCATCATCACACAGAGACCCATAGACTTACCACCACACAGAGACCCATAGACTCACTCACACAGAGACCCATAGACTCACTCACACAGAGACCCATAGACTCACTCACACAGAGACCCATAGACTCACCACCATACAGAGACCCATAGACTCATCATCACACAGAGACCCATAGACTCACCATCACACAGAGACCCATAGACACATCATCACACAGAGACCCGTAGACTCACCACCACACAGAGACCCAGACAGAGAGAGACCCATAGAGACCCACAGACACTCATAGAGACCCACAGGGACTCACAGACACCCATAGAGACCCATAGAGACCCACAGAGACCCACAGACACCCATAGAGACCCACAGGGACTCACAGACACCCATAGAGACCCATAGAGACCCACAGAGACTCACAGAGACCCACAGACACCCACAGAGACCCACAGAGACCCACAGACACTCATAGAGACCCACAGAGACCCACAGAGACCCATAGAGACCCAAAGAGACTCACAGAGACTCACAGAGACCCACAGAGACTCACAGAGACTCACAGAGACCCACAGAGACCCACAGAGACCCATAGAGACCCACAGAGACTCACAGAGACCCACAGAGACCCACAGAGACCCACAGAAACCCATAGAAACCCATAGAGACCATCAGAGACCCAGAGAGACCCACAGAGACCCATAGAGATCCACAGAGACCCACAAAGACCCATAGAGACTCACAGAGACCCATAGAGACTCATAGAGACCCACAGAGACTCACAGAGACCCATAGAGACCCACAGAGACTCACAGAGACCCACAGACACCCACAGAGACCCACACAGACCCACAGAGACACCCACACACAGACACCCACACAGAGACACCCACAGAGTGACTCACAGTCGGCAAGTTCCTCACCGAGCTGCGTAGCCCTCAGCCCCTGCTGCTGCTGCTGCTGCAGTGAGTGCTGATTGTTGCTGTCCGCTCGCTCGGCCGCCTCTCGTCTCGAAGACTTCCACAGCAGATTTCGACTGCACGGGTGGAATCGATAAAGAGCGGCGATTCCGGGCCGTTACGATTCGGAATGGTGGAATCGATTCCCGTTGTTGTTAATGTTGGTTTCAAGGTGGGGAGGGGGGGAGTTTCGTGCGAGCGGGAGTCGATTCTGAATGTGCAACGATTCCGCTTGGATCGATTCGCGGTTATGGATTTTGTGCGAGTGGAGTCGATTGTCAAAGTTTCAACGATTAACCTTTGAATCGATTCGTGTTGGTGGGTTAAGGGCGAGTGGAGTCGATTGACAATTTGTAACGATTACCCTTTGAATCGATTCGTGTTGATGGACTTTTTTGTAGGAGTCGATTCTCAAAGTACAACGATTCATCTTTGAATCGATTTGTGTTGGTTGGTTTCGGGGCGAGAGAAGTTGATTCCCAATTTTCAATGATTCCACCTTGAATCGATTTGTGTTTGGGGTGAGCGGAGTAGATTTCCTAATGTACGGCGATTCAAAAGTTGAATCGATTCCTGTTAGTGTGGAGTGTTAGGGGTTTAGTGCAGTTGATTCATTAATGAAGCACGATTTCCCTTGAATCGATTCTATTGTAGGTGTGAAATCGATTCATTATTTTCTCCGTAATTCTCCATAAATCGATTCCTGTTGTTGGTGTAGTAGATTCTTTCATAAGCATCGATTCTCACCGAAACGATTCCTGTTATTGTAGAGTCTTAGTGGTGTGAAGTCGATTCCATACGGAACCACGATAACCATTGGATCGATTCCTCTTGGTGGTGTGGGCGATTATTTTAAAAGGCATCGATTCCCACGGAAACGATTTCCGTTATTGTGGAGTCTTAGTGGTGCGGAGTCGATTCCATACGGAACCACGATTACCATTGCATCGATTCCTCTTTGTGTTGTGGCGTGTTCGGTGCTAATCGAGTCGATTCCAAAGTATTCTGCGATTCACATTCGATTCGATTCCTTTGTTGGCGTTGGCCCGTATAGGCAATTCCTCGCTTAACGCGTGGCCGGCTTCGTCCATGAGCAGCTTAGGGAAGAATCCGACCTCCCAGCTTGAACTCTCCGTGATGAACATGACAGAGAGACACAGACACGGAGACACAGAGAGAGAGAGAGACACAGAGAGAGACACAGAGACATACAGAGAGAGACAGAGAGACACAGAGAGAGACAGAGACATACAGAGGGAGACAGACAGACACAGAGAGAGACAGACATACAGAGACAGAGACATACAGAGAGAGACAGAGACACAGAGAGAGACACAGAGACAGAGAGAGACACAGGGAGAGACAGAGAGACACAGAGAGAGACATACACAGAGACGCAGCGAGAGACAGAGAGAGACACAGACATACAGAGACACAGAGAGAGACAGACAGAGAGAGATAGAGAGAGACACAGAGAGATAGACAGATAGAGACACACAGAGAGACAGACAGAGAGACACACAGAGAGACAGATAGAGAGACAGACAGAGAGACAGAGATAGACAGAGAGACAGAGGCAGACACAGAGAGAGACAGAAACAGAGACAGAGGGAGAGAGTGGGGGAGAGACAGACACAGAGAGACATACAGAGACGGAGAGAGAGACACAGAGACAGATAGACAGAGAGACAGTCACAGAGAGAGACACAGACAGACAGAGACACAGAGACAGAGAGAGACAGACAGAGAGAGGCTAATGGTTACTCCGACTATACAATCCGCAAAGCTATCACTAAAACCATGAAGAAGGACCTTCTTGAGGAGCCTTTCAAAACCATCACTTTACCCTACATTGCTGGGATCACAAAAAAGATCTCCAAAAATCTTGAATAAACACAAGATCCAGGTCCGTTTCAACACGTTACATAAAATCCGTGATCTGGTTCCGTCTGTAATAGATGTGATTCCGGACATACCGTGCCCTGGTGTCTACAAACTAAGTTGCCTCTGTGGTAGTAGTTACATTGGAGAAACCAAACGCCATGTCTCGGACCGCATCCGTGAACACAAAGCAGACCTTAAACACGGTAGGACCAACACCTCTGCCGTGGCAGATCATTGTTATAATTCAGTAGGCTCACGTGACATTGACTTCTCCAAGACAGAGGTTCTTGGCAAGCCATCTGGCTACCATGAGAGATTCGTTCACGAGGCTATCCACATATAAAAGCACAGAGACAATTTCAACCGAGAAGATGGATTCTGGGCTTAGCAATCATTGGAAGGATTTGATAAACCATTTCGGGTCTTAATTGATTGCTAAAGACAAAGCCCCCCCAGATAGCCTCTAGCAGGGCTGTAGGGGCAAGTGCTGAGACACAGACAAAGCTCCCCCAGGTAGCCTCTGGCAGGGCTGTAGGGGCAAGTGCTGAGACACAAAGCTACCCCAGGTAGCCTCTAGCAGGGCTGTAGGGGCAAGTGCTGAGACACAAAGCTCCCCCAGGTAGCCTCTAGCAAGGCTGCAGGGGCAAGTGCTGAGACACAAAGATCCCCCAGGTAGCCTCTAGCAGGACTGTATGGGCAAGTGCTGAGACACAGACAAAGCTCCCCCAGGTAGCCTCTAGCAGGGCTGTAGGAGCAAGTGCTGAGACACAGACAAAGCTCCCCCAGGTAGCCTCTAGCAGGGCTGTAGGGGCAAGTGCTGAGACACAGACAAAGATCCCCCATGTAGCCTCTGGCAGGGCTGTAGGGGCAAGTGCTGAGACATAGGCAAAGCTCCCCCAGGTGGCCTCTAGCAGGGCTGTAGGGGCAAGTGCTGAGACACAAAGATCCCCCAGGTAGACAATTCCAGAGTAGAATCAGATTTCCATAGGTTTTTATTCAAATGAGCAGAGTCCACACAGCTCACCACACAGCTCACCAAACTCACCACAGCGCTCACCAAACTCACCACACAGCTCACCTAACTCACCACAGAGCTCACCAAACTCACCACAGAGCTCACCAAACTCACCACACAGCTCACCAAACTCACCACACAGCTCACCAAACATCTCACCACAGAGCTCGCCAAACTCACCACGCACCTCGCCAAACTCACCACACACCTCACCACGCACCTCAAAAAACTCACCACACACCTCACCAAACTCACCACACAGCTCACCAAACACCTCACCAGACAGCTCACCAAACTCACCACAGCTCACCACACAGCTCACCAAACTCACCACACAGCTCACCAAACTCACCACGCACCTCACCAAACTCACCGCACACCTCACCACGCACCTCAAAAAACTCACCACACACCTCACCAAACTCACCACGCACCTCAAAAAACTCACCACACACCTCACCAGACAGCTCACCAAGCTCACCACACAGCTCACCAAACTCACCACACAGCTCACCAAACTCACCACACAGCTCACCAAACTCACCACACAGCTCACAAAACTCACCGCCTTTTTTTAGTAACACGTTTCAGGTAGGCGACTCACGATGGCCGTGTCAGAGACACTGAGACCCTGGGGTCAGGGTTCAAGCCCTGGGTCTGGGTGTCTCTCTCTCAGGGGGGTTCACGATGGCCGTGTCAGAGACACTGAGACCCTGGGGTCAGGGTTCAAGCCCTGGGTCTGGGTGTCTCTCTCTCAGGGGGTTCACGATGGCCGTGTCAGAGACACTGAGAGCCTGGGGTCAGGGTTCAAGCCTACACCACGACCATCACCACCACCACAATCATCACCACCACCACAATCATCACCACCACTATCACCACCATCACCACAATCATCACCATCATCACCACCATCATCACCACCATCATCACCACCATCGCCACAATCATCACCACCATCGCCACAATCATCACCACTACCATCACCACCATCACCACAATCACCACCACAATCATCACCACCATCACCACCCTATTTGGTAAAATGCCCTCTCTCTCAGTCTGTCAGCATCACCACCACCATTACCACCACTGCTTCCTCCTCCACCACCACCACCACCACCACCCTCACCACCACCACCACCACCCTCACCACCTTCACCACCACCACCACCCTCACCACCACCACCACCACCACCACCACCTTCACCACCACCACCACCACTATTTGGTACAATGGCCCCGACTGGCAATGGCCGCGTCTCCTGGCTCCATCTCCACACGGCACGCCCGGCCGCCCATCACTTCCCCTACGGTGTGACCGCCACCACCACCACCACCACCGCCACCACCACCACCACCACCGCCACCACCGCCACCACCACCGCCACCACCAGCCTCCACGTGGTGATGGCGGGGGTGGTGGTAGTAGTAGTTGTAGTAGTTGTTGTTGTAGCTGTTGTTGTTGTTGTTGTCGTGCTGCTGCTGCTGCTGCTGCTCGGCGTAGCCCGGCACGGCGCCGGGCCCGGCAGTTGCCGGGCCCGGCGCCGTGCCGGTGAGGTGCGCTACGAGCTGGGCGAGCAGCAGGAGCTGCCGCCGCTGGGACTCGGCGAGCAGGGCCAAGCCATGCGACATGTGGGACAGCATCGCCGCTTCCTCGTCATCCACCTCCCCGTACACCCCCTCCTCCTCGTCAACGTCATCCACCACCTCCTCCTCCTCTTCCTCCACCTCCTCCACCTCCTCCACCTCCTCGTCGTCGTCAACGTCAGCCGCCTCGAGCTGGCCCCGGACGTCCACCGCCTCGCCAACGAGGGCTCCGGTACGTCCGCTCGTCGCCATCGGCGAGATGCCAAAGCCGTAGCCGCCGGCGTAGCCGCCACCGGCGCTACCACCACGCATCATCATCATCATCATCAGCGAGTTGTGGTTAACGCCACCACCACCGCTACCACCACCGGCACCAGCACCACCACCACCGCCACCACCACCGGCACCACCACCGGCACCAGCACCACCACCACCACCACCACCACCACCACCGCCACCACCACCACCACCACCACACATCATCATCAACGAGTTGTGGTTAACACCACCACCACCCCCACCACCACCACCACCGCCACCACCACCGCCACCACTGCCACCACCACCACCAGCACCACCACCACCACCACCGCCACCACCACCACCACCACCACCACACATCATCACCAGCGAGTTGTGGTTAACACCACCACCACCACCAGCACCACCACGCATCATCACCAGGGAGTTGTT